TTACTTACTTTTTTTTTTTTGGAGAGGTTTTTGCTATAGGGCGCGTGTGCTCACCAGACAGACAGAGAGAGACAGAGAGACAGAAAGCAAGAAATCACCCCCTGGGGGGATGGCCATGCCACAATCCTTTCTCCTCCATTCTCCTCTCGGGGTCTTGGGCATGCATGCATACGCGACCGGCGTGAGTTTTAAGTCACCGGGTCCGGTACTCGAACTGCAGTTGACTACGTGAGAGTCCAGCAACATAGCCATTACGCTAACTGGTGGTCCCCTTTTTACTTACTTTAATTTGACCAGAGAGGGACAGAGTGAGAAAGAAAGAAAGTGAGAAAGCAAGTCACCAGGTCCAGGACTTCAACTGCAGTCAGCCATGTGGGAGTCCACCAACCCCAACCACCACGCCACCTGTCAACCCTCTAAGATATCCTTAAAGATGTAATATTAACTTAATGATAGGTTTGTTTCAAGAGAAGAAACTCCTCCAGAATGTCAGATGTCTACATATCGGAGACATGTTTAAAGTGGCTTGTGGGGGTCAGCAGATGGTATAGTGGTTATGTTGCTGGACTCCTACATGGTTGACCATGGTTCAAGTCCCAGACCCAGTGGCTTAAAACTCAAGCTTGGCACATGCGTATGCATGCCCAAGATCCTGGGAGGAGAATAAAGGAGAAGGGATTGCAGCATGGCCATCCACCCAGGGGTTGATTTCTCATTTTCCCTCTCATTATCTCTGTCTCTCTATCTCTCTAGTGAGCACATGTGCCCTAAGGCAAAAAACCTCTACCAAAAAAAAAGTAATGTAGCATGGCAAGGCTATAAATTATGTCTGTCTTTTCCCAATAATTTAGCCAGTGTGTTGAGATTATCTTCTGCAAGATCACCTTCAAATTGTATGAACAGAAAGAAAAATACCCCTAACTCAGCCAGCTTATCTCAGATGTAGACAGACAATGTAATTAATACTTCCAACAGATGGCATACCATAGCATGTAATAATAATGGCTAATAATAACCCTTACAGTCCTTGTTCTGGTATCATGTTCCAGGATGTTCTATGCACTTTACTTTAATTCTCCTAACAACATTATAAAGGTCATTTTGTAGATGAAAAAATCAAGGCTCCTACATTTAATCAGCAAACATTTGAAATCCACTGAACTATAGACTGTTGGAGTTAGAATTCCCTGTAGTGATCATCTGACCCATCACCATTGTATTATAGGCAGGTAAACTGGAACCAAGTTCTGAAAATGAACCAGTGGCATAGTCTGAACTAAAACAGGGCTGTTCTTCACTCACACACCACACACACACACAATACTTCCAACAGATGGCATACCATAGCATGTAATAATAATGGCTAATAATAACCCTTACAGTCCTTGTTCTGGTATCATGTTCCAGGATGTTCTATGCACTTTACTTTAATTCTCCTAACAACATTATAAAGGTCATTTTGTAGATGAAAAAATCAAGGCTCCTACATTTAATCAGCAAACATTTGAAATCCACTGAACTATAGACTGTTGGAGTTAGAATTCCCTGTAGTGATCATCTGACCCATCACCATTGTATTATAGGCAGGTAAACTGGAACCAAGTTCTGAAAATGAACCAGTGGCATAGTCTGAACTAAAACAGGGCTGTTCTTCTCACACACACCACACACACACACACACACACACACACACACAACACACACACGCACATGCACACCCATACACACTCCTACACCTAGAGTCAATAAGAGAATATACGAGGTACGCCCTAGTCTCCCCTTCCTCCATGGTGGTATAGGTATTTCAGCTCCTTGGCATGCTTCTTTTCAATTGCTGCATCTTTATTTTCCTAGATAAGGTAGTAAAAGATAAACTGCGAGGCCTTCTCTGGCTGCATTGCCCCCGACGTAGCAGCAATATGAATAATGAAACTCCAAGGTTCTGAGCCATCCTGACTTCCTCTTAGCCCCTCACCTAAAGCAGGCGGCAAAGCACATGCTGGCTGTCTCAGCCCCAAACCAGAGTTTCCTGTCACTATCACTGAATGCCACGCAGAGCAGCCACAGCGGGGGAGAGTGTGCTTCAAAGGAGCTGAGCCTTCCATGTCTGACAGAGCTGACTGCAAACACTCCCTCTCCTGTCTCTGAGGCCTACAAATGACGTACGGTTGTTACCAATTGGCTGTTGCTTTAATTACAGTATCTTTCAGAAAAACTATGGCTTCTTTGAAAGAATAACAGAAACTACAACAACAAAAATATTTGATTGAATGAAGGAGATACTCACACTCTCCTCTTCAGAGACAATTGATAAATTTCTGAGCCCTTTGGTCTATGATTCTTCCTCTGGAGAGTGACTTACAATTCAGATAAATTCTCCCTCTGCTGAAGTTTTGTTCCTTCCTGTTTTGAGCTTAACCCATCACATTTCAATGAAGCAAGAGCAAAAGCTGCATTATTTGACAAAAGGGGAAAAATGTTGAAGACAAGCTATGCTGCCTGCAACATGTAAAGGAATGGTAGAGACATGATGTTAAGCAAAGAATCTAGACACAAATTCACTATTTGCAGCAGTCAAACATGGAAATACCTCATTTCATCAGCTTAAGAATGAGTAAACAGGGACCAGCAGATGATGTCATGGTTACATTGATGGACTCCCTCATAATCTACTGCTGTCCAAATCCTGGACCTGGCAGCTTAAAACTCACACCGGGCATGTGTGTGTGCATGCTCAAAATCCAGAGAGGAGATTGGAGGAGAAGGGATTGTGGTGTGGCCATCCCCCCTGGGGGGTGATTTCTCACTTTCTGTCTCTCTGGGGAATGCACGTGCCCTCTTGCAAAAATCTCTCTCTCAAAATAAATAAATAAACAGACTATGATATATCTATATAATGCAAATATCAATGCAGTATTATCCGTTCATAGAAAGAAATGAAGTACTGAGGCATGCTACAACTTGGATGGACCTTAAAAAAAATATCCTTAGTGAAAGAAGGCCATCACACATACACACACACCCCACAAATTATAAGATTCCATTTACATGAAATGTCTAGAATAGGCAAATCTATAGGGCTAGTCCCATAACCTAGTGGTAGCTGGATCCCACATGGCTGATTGTGGTTCAAGTCCCAGCTCTATGGCATGAAAATTAGGCCAAGTACCGTGCAAGTGTGCCCCAAATTCTAACATGAAGGAAAAATAGAGGAGAAGATTTTCAGCCTTTTCAGCATGTGTTCCATACACGCAAACTCGTAGAAGAATGGTTAGCACTAGGTTTTTCTATTAGATTAGTTCTGGCTAGTTATAAAATGATCAACAAAACTGGGGATACCTGAACTTAGGGAGTGGCACTAGATAAGTGATTCTCAACTGGGGGGTTGGTTTTCTGCAGGGGACATTTATCAATGTCTGTCACCCAAAATACTGAGACTAGGAATGGTGATAAACATCCTGTAAAGCACAGGATGGCCTTGCACTAGAATAACCAGATCCAAAATGTCAGTAGTACCAAGGAAGGCCGGAATCAGCTTGGACTAGACTATAAGGTTTTTTCTAAGCCTGAGACTCTTGAATTAAAACAGTCAGCATGACTTTCTATGTGTATGTGTGTGCACTTGTGCAGGCAACCCGCCTTTGGGGTTGGGAGATGTAAGATCTTGTGTCGTTCTAGAAATTATATATTTTATTTCATATACTACATATGCATGCCCTCTACATGAGGCTCCTATCTAACAATGACTTTTCACTTAAGGCTTCAGTATGTCTAAATGAAGTATATCATAGTAATAACAGGCTTGGGCCAGCAGGTGGCATAGTGGTTAGGGCATTGGACTCCCACATGGCCAACTGAGGTTTGAGTCTTGGATCTGGTGGCTTGAAACTCATGCCAGGTGCATGGGTGTGCATGCCCAAAATCCCAAGAGGAGAATGGAGGAGAAGGGATTGTTACATGGCCATCCCTGCTGGGGGTTAATTTCTCACTTTCTGTCTGTCTAGCTCTCTCTGTCTCTCCAGTGAGCATATGTGCCCTATAGCAAAAATCTCTCAAAATAGATAAATAAATAACAGACTTATACATGTTACCAGCACAGGTGTACAGCTGGATAAGAACACAGTGTTAGACATGAAGTTCTTAAAACAGAGTTCTGAATGAGAAATTCCCACCAGGAATGAATAAAATGGCATCTCCATTTGCTTATGTTTATTTCATCAGTGCTAGCAAAATTGTCAGGGTGGTGAAAGGCACATTCTCCACACAGCTCCTGCTCCCCATCTCCCTCCTGAAACCAGGAGCTTAATGTGCTTTCTCCTTTTGCCCTGCAGCAAAATCAGCACTCTGGAAAGGGCCTAAAAAATATATCCCCATTAAAAAACTAATAATACATTCAGGACAGAAAGTTTCGTGCCCTTGTTGGGGAATGGGAAAGTATCGGGTCATTGAAAAAGTCATGACGTATTTTTTTCTATGTAAAAATGTATCATGACTTTTCTGACGTTCCAGTAGCTTCTAATACCCATAGAGAAGAAGCATCAGAGAGTAGGAGAATGAACATGGGCTTTGCTCATAAACCGAAATTCAAGTCCCATCTCTGCACTTACGACCTGTGGGTCATTGAAAAGCTACACAGGCTCTCTGGCACTCCGTGTCCTCATCGGTAAACTTGAGAATAATAATATCTAGATGGCAAGGTTGTGATGAGGGTTGGGAAATATTTTTCAAGAATCTGGTACATTTTAAACTGGAATATCTACCTATCTTTACTCATGGCTAACACCAGTACACCAGCACTAGAACAGTCCCTGGCCCACGTAAAAGCCCAAGAACAAATCTTTTGAAAGAATAGAATAAATGAAATGACAATGACTATTAATGAAAACCTGTTCTATGCCAGGCTGGCCACATCCTCCTTGTGCAGATGAGAAAAGTGAAGCTGGATACACGAGTCTGGCTTTCTGGGCTGAGTAACTTTCCATTCTTTCTAACTATTTCAGGGCAAAGAAGGAGCCTTCATGGTCCGAGATTCCAGGACTCCAGGAACATACACCGTGTCTGTTTTCACCAAGGCCATCGTAAGGTATGAGGCTAGCTCAAGTCAGCCAGGTGGGGAGAGACACTTCCGAGTGAGAGTGAGGAATAGACTAACACACACAAAGACCAGTGGTGCCAGAGGCCGAGACTCACTAGAAATGGTATGTTCTCCCTGTTCTCTCAGAGAAAGCCAAAGCCAAGGACAGCAAGGACAGAACTGAAGAGAATCAGAAAGTGACAAAGCCAGGGGTGGATGCCAGGTCTTCTTCCCAGTTAGTATACCTGATTTCAGGACTCTAAAGAAATAAAATAGTTGACTCTGTATTTGATGAGTATATAATTCAATACATAGAATGACAGAGAAGATGTTTCCAACTGGAGGTGAAAATAGATCAATTCTAGCTCTGGCCCTGCTAATTAAACTACCTACCATTTATTGAGTCCTCACTGTGTGCCAGGGATTTCACAGATCATTTCCAACCCCAGAAGCCCGGAGGCAGGTACAGGGCTACTCTGCTATTTCACACAGGACAAACCAAGGCCCAGAGAGCTGAGGGCGCCTCCCTAAAGCTACAGGGCCCAAGTGGTCCGCATCTGTGCTCCCACCAATCTGATTGTGAGACCTCACTGCTGATCCGCTCCTCTCTGTAGCCCAGTTTCTTCTTGTTAAAATGATATCTGAGAGCCTATCTAGGTCTTAAATTCTCTTCTAATTAGGACATTAGTCATCATGAAGCAGTTTGATAATGACCAAAGTACAATGAGAATTAAGAGAACACTAACGTCTGAGGTGAATACTCAGAGAACACCCGGAGAACAGAAAACCCAGACAGTACCTGGAGAGAGGCAGGGGTTTAGGCAGGTGACAAAGAGGAAGGGCACTGTTTAGGGATGGGAAAGAATACAAAGCACATGCCAGAGGGGCCACGCTTCCTCCAGAGCTGGGGGCCAATGAGGAGAGTGACCTGCAGCCCCATAAACTATGATGAAGAAGGACTAACGTCTGTGTTGGGGGTCCCAAGACCACACTCTAGGTTCAATGATTTGCTAAGAGGCCTTCCAGATTTATTTATTATTCTAAGATTTATTACAGCAAAGGGTACAAAACAAAACCAGCAAAGGGAAATGACATGAGGGCAAAATCCAGAGGAAAGCGAACACAAGTTCCAGAGTCTCCTCTCCTAGTGGAGTCACACAGACATGCTTCATATCTCTATCAGTGAGTTAGGAAAACGTATCCGATTTCTTGTCTACCAGGGAAACTGATTAGCTACTTAGAGCCCAGGGCTTTTATCAGAGGCTGGTTATGCAGACATCTTCTGGCAAGCATATACCAAAATTCCAGATTTCCAGGAGGAAAACAGCGGCTCAGCATAAACAACATTGTTTGTACAAACAGTGTAGGCACAGCCAGCCGTGCCTATTACTGAAGGAATAGTCAGTGCCCTCAGGGATCCAAATTCCCAGACAGCAGCCAGGGGCTAGCCACACAGGTAGGCTTGTCTCCGGATGGCAGTTAGGCTGGCTATGTTAACTCTGTACCACAAAGTCAAGGAAGATGGGAAGCAGGGACAGAGAGGTTTCCTCAGCAGATGCTGACGTGTGGTTAAATCCACAGAGCAGGAGAGGCAAACCTATAGCACCTATGTAACACGCCCCTGTGGTGGCTGAGGACGAAACATCACCAATCCCTCCCAGTACTGTTGGCAGCTAGAACCAGATGCAACCTGAGTCCTTAACACAGCACCGCTGGTGCCCAGGGCCACCCTGCCAACAGTGACAAACAAGACAAAATGTGTCCGCCCTCCCGTGAGAGGTTATGAAATAAAGATAAGAATCTAATACTGGTAGACATTGTGTGCCTCATCATAGTTTCCTGATAGTCCCTACATTTGTTTTATTTGTTGAAGTGAGAACAACCCCTGTATAAAGCACTATCACATCAAGGAAACCAATGACAATCCCAAGCGGTACTATGTGGCTGAGAAGTATGTGTTCGATTCCATCCCCCTTCTCATCAATTACCACCAACACAATGGAGGAGGTAAGTTCTAGAGGAAAAGTCAGAAGGGACCCTCCCAGGGAAATGGGAGTAAAGTGACCAAAACCCAGTCTGGTTTTCTCATGTCAGAGAATCTGACCATAAATAATTACTAAATATATGAATAGAAAAGGATGCCAAATGGTTTTGTATTTTTTTTTTAAGAGAAAGAATTTTGCTATAGGGCATGTGCACTTGCCGGAGAGACAGAAAGAGACAGACAGAAAGTGAAAATCATCCCTCAGGGGGGATGGCTATGCCACATCCCTTCTCTTCCATTTTCTTCTCAGGATCTTGGGTAGGCATGCACATGTGCCTGGTGTGAGTTTTAAGCCACTGGATCTGGGATTCGAACTGCAGTCAACTAAATGTGGGAGTCCAGCAATGTAACTGTTATGCCATCTGCTGGTCCCAGATGCCAAATGTTATATTATATTACATATCTTCCATTAGCAAAGTCTGCTCTGAAAATCACAGAGTGGAATCCACGACCTGAATCTTCTCAAGGAGGATATTAATGATATCAGTAATTGGGCTGTGGGATTTATTTTCCAGAATAAAAGGAACTTCTGCATCCATTTATTTTTTTTTTTTCTGGTGATTTAATTTAGATGATTGCTACAGTAAAACTCTAACTGCTGCCTTTGCCTTTTCAACCAATCCAGGCCTGGTCACTCGACTCCGGCATCCAGTTTGTTCCCTGAGGCAGAAAGCCCCCGTCACAGCAGGGCTAAGATACGGTGAGCAGTATGATCAGAATTTTAGGTATTTGAACTAACATGCTTATCCCTAAAGGCCTGCAGTCAATTCTGAATGGACTTACCTTCAACCTAAGTCTATTTTCCATACTTCAAATGACCATTAAAGCAAGTATTCTGTATCCCTGGAGACGGTAGCTTCGTGGACATTACAATGTGTGCGAGAAAGAGAAGTGTGTGTCTGAGCACGTTTATCTAAGCCAAGCCAACGCTACTGATTTCAATGAACCATTCCTCAATGTCGTGTTTATTGAGCACCTGTTTTTTACAGAACGTTCTACTAAATATTATTAGAGAAATGTTAGAAAGCAAGCCTGGGAACCAGCAGTTAGCGTAATGGCTATGTCGCTGGACTCCCACGTAGTCGACCGCGGTTCGTGTCCCGGACCCGGTGGCTTAAAACTCACACCGGGCGCGTGTGCGTGCGTGCCCAGGATCCCGAGAGGAGAATGGAGGAGAAGGGATTGTGGCATGGCCATCCCCCCTGGGGGGTGATTTCTCACTTTCTGTCTCTATGTCTCTCTCTGTCTGTCTGGCAAGCGCACGCGCCCTACAGTGAAAATCTCTCAAAAAACAAACAGAAAAAAAAAAAAGAAAGCAAGCCTTAGCACTGCACTGCCGCTATCTTCTAGAACATTTGTGTGGTCCAGTTTGTTGTGTATGGGTCCATTGCAAGAGCTAAAGCTGGCAAGATCCACGAATGTTTGTTTTTACAGCATAAAAATGTTCAACTGCCTTTAAGACAGGGCATGTGTCCCTGGTGCCACCTCCCCTGCTATGCCTTCTTGTCCCTTGGAACTGATTCGCACACTTGAGATTACCTGCCTGGAACCCAGAGCCATTTGAGGTGCCATCCTTGATCCAAACTGTGCTGTTTGAGAAGTAGGCTGGTCTCATTTTCATTTTCTATCTCCTAGATTTGTGGCTTTCAAATTTCAGTGTGGGTCAAAGTTCCCTGGAATGCTCGTTAAAAATGCTAACTCCTAGACTCTACCAACACTTACCAAAACACTATCCCTGGTAGTGGATGCCTGGAGTCTGCATTTTAAACAAATGCAGTAGGTGATTTTTAATGCAGGTGGTCAGAGAAAAACACTTGAGAACACTGCCCTGGGCTCTTCATCCTTAACCAGAGCTATGTCCACCATAGTTACCATAAGGTACCAGTACTGCTTACAGTCGAGCCTCTGCCTCAGAGGCAAAAACCCAGTTGTGGTAGACCAAGAAGCATCAAGAAGGGATAATGCATCTTCATCTTCCTTATGAAAATAAGGCTATTCCAAATAACTCTTGGATCCTAATGTGTCCCTAATGGATGGGATCTCAGGGATTATGGGGCAGTCCACTCTTCTTTTTCTTTCTTTTTTTTTTTTTTTTT